CTGCACAACTTTTTTCATTTTTTGCATGCATTCACGCCGCTCTGCTTTATGCGGTGATGAGTTTTTCCTACCTAAAATCTCAATATGCCACTTCAAACTAAACTTTGATGCTCAGCCAAAGGTCAACAGGCCGCAACATGATTTATCCTCACACACAAGGAAAAGTTTCAGACAAGTTTGCATTGAAGGGACCCCAAATAAATTATCAATTATCCTTTAAAATTACGTTATTTCATGAAGATTTTAGATATATTATTTAAAATACAAACAAATTGCTCAATGTTTTCACATATTTCTTGGAAACATGTGCTTCGAGAGAGTTTAACTTCTTAGCTGATGCTATAACCGGTCGCGGCTATAATGCACATGAAGTTGAGTTGTGGGATAGATCTTGTTGTGGGATAGAAGTTGAGGTCTGTGAGCTAGATCATTGATTGATTGTTAAAAGATACTTTTTGAATTACAATTCACTGTCATGCGGCTTTTGATCACTGAGTACAAATCACAGTTCTAACGCCAAACGTAAAATGTGAGCACTTGGCAGATTTTTGGTGTTGATTAAGCCTTATAAAAAAGAACAAGGAAAAAATTGGGGATTAAACGTAAAAAGTGGGTTCATGCGTATATGTTATGTATGATTTAAATAAAAATAGTATATTTTAGCGAATTCTTCTGAAGTATACAAAATAATCATATTTTTGTAAACAATATGTATGTCTAGATGTAATATGCACATTATACGAGAATCTATATAACAAGATATTTAGGATAGTGATAAACACCTATTTTTTTATTTTATTTTATTTACTTTTCAAACATTCTTTTAATTTACTGATGTCAGATCGAATAAATTGAAGAACATTAAAGTACACAATTAAACGTAATATTTGTGAGAAGTAAAAAGAAATGTGTGAATAACAACATCCTATATTTTAACTAAGAAATGAGGAAATAAATTAACAATTCAACATCGAACTAACTATTGACGAGATTCAAGGGTAGTACATCATCTACTTAGAAGTTTTATTTTATACAAATTCTACTAACTAGTAATGTGTTCACCTTGGATAAAAAAATAATTAATCTAATTTACTTTCTAGGATTTTTTGTTATAATTTAATTAATCCTATACAAAAAGAAGCGTTTGCTACTATTTAATAGTATGATCTAGTGATATTCATCCTCACTTGTAAATAAGAAATTTAAGGTTCAATTTTCATTAAAGACAAATTTGAATCAGATTATTGTTAGCCCATTGTAAGATTGAGTTCGTCCTCCTCTTTATAATGTAAATAATATCGTTTATTAAAAAATATCGATAGTTAAAAACTGAAAAAATAAAAAATAACAAGAAAAGAAAATGAAAAGAAGAGTTTGCTTGAGTGACAAAACAGCTGCAACATAAAAGCAGCCAAAAGCTTTGGCAGCTTAATTTCTTCTCCACCCTCAACGAAACGCCAAATCTCGTTTCTGCTTGCCTTGCCCACCACAAAGCACCTGCGATGTCGACTGAGACAGAGGACGCCGTACGACGTCGCACAGCGGTTGCCGACTACCGCAAAAAGTTACTCCAGCACAAGGAGCTCGATTCCCGAGTTCGCGCAGGTCAGATTCACTCCCAAACCCTAATCCCCCTTTGCAGTTAACAAACCAAATTGTCCCAATTAGTAAGCTTTATTGTGATCGCCCTTTTAGGGTTTCGATTCGGATTTTCAATTGAGCGGTTCAGTTCCGATTTTGTTATCTAGATTTTCAAATGCATTCGATTTCGCCTTTTCGGGGCTTTCTATTATGTTATGGTTATAGTAATTGAGATGCTTTGAAAAATTTGTTTGGGTCACGCAATTGATTTTTTTTGGCCATGGGATGGTGTGCAGTGAGAGAGAACTTGCGGGCTGCAAAGAAAGAATTTGGGAAAACTGAAGATGATTTGAAGTCCCTTCAGAGTGTTGGACAGATTATCGGTGAAGTTCTCAGGCCTCTCGATAACGAACGCCGTAAGTAGTTTGTTTGCTTAATGCTTGTTTCATTGTCTAAAATTTGATTGTTGGAAACCTGCGAGAGTAGTGCTTTTAGGTCTTTCTTTGTGTTTGAGAACTGCAAAAGTAATGATCTTTTATTTTATTGACTCAGTTATTGTGAAGGCAAGTAGTGGCCCAAGGTATGTGGTTGGGTGCCGCAGTAAAGTTGACAAAGAAAAACTAACAGCCGGCACGCGGGTTGTTTTGGATATGACTACCTTGACTATCATGCGGGCTCTTCCCAGAGAAGTAATTATCTTCCGATTATCTGTTATCAAGTTTGACACTTTATTCAGCTACTCATGAACATTCTTTTTGTAGGTTGATCCGGTTGTGTATAATATGCTTCATGAAGATCCTGGTAATGTTAGCTACTCAGCTGTCGGAGGACTATCGGATCAGATTCGAGAGCTTAGGGAATCCATTGAATTGCCTCTAATGAACCCTGAGCTCTTCCTTAGAGTGGGGATCAAACCTCCTAAGGTAATTTTGTATGCTGTTGGTGTTCTTTGTATTTTTAACCACATTTTCCGAAGGCTGATGCCTATTTTAGAAACCTAGAAGCTTAGAACTTCCAAATACAGCTTTTCTTTTCTTATTTTATTTACATTGTTCCAGGGTGTTCTTCTGTATGGACCTCCGGGAACTGGAAAGACGTTACTTGCCAGAGCAATTGCTAGCAACATAGATGCTAACTTTCTTAAGGTTAGTTTTTCTTTTCTGTAGAAGTTTGGAAATCACGTCATAACTTTTCTTGCTGCAAATTTCGGTACTCATTCTTTGAATAAGAATAGAATCCTTTTTAGTTGTTTCAACTTATCTTTGATATACGATACTACATACCTGGTGTAGGTTGTATCAAGTGCCATTATTGACAAATATATCGGTGAAAGTGCAAGATTGATAAGGGAAATGTTTGGTTATGCCCGTGATCACCAGGTAGGTGCTTGATAATTACTTTCAATTTAACAGTAGATGTTCTTATTTAAAAGCATACTTATTGTGTTGACTTTATGTTTAGCCTTGTATCATTTTTATGGATGAGATCGATGCTATTGGTGGACGGCGTTTTAGTGAAGGGACTAGTGCGGACCGAGAAATTCAGCGAACACTCATGGAGTTGCTTAACCAGTTAGATGGATTTGATCAGCTCGGAAAGGTATGTTACGTTTTGGTTGAAATCAAGCTTTATTTTTTTGGTTTGGTCATAACAAATAGATGCAAACACATTTATCCAGTCATGCTTGTATAAACTGACTAATGCCATAAAAGTAGATCATATCTTGGCATGGATGATGGATGTTGATTTGTTTCATTTCATAGGTGAAAATGATCATGGCAACCAATAGGCCTGATGTCCTGGATCCAGCACTTCTCCGCCCTGGGCGACTAGACCGCAAGATAGAGATCCCATTGCCTAATGAGCAATCAAGAATGGAAATTCTCAAAATCCATGCTGCTGGGATAGCCAAACATGGGGACATTGATTATGAGGCAGTTGTGAAACTTGCTGAGGTAAGCAAGACTATATTTATATCTATATCAAAAGATTTTATTTCATGCTTTACCTCAACAATTTGATTCATTGTTTTCATTTCAGGGTTTTAATGGAGCTGATCTTCGTAATGTCTGCACTGAAGCTGGGATGTCTGCGATCCGTGCTGAGAGGGATTATGTCATTCATGAAGATTTCATGAAGGTATGTGTTAAATAAAGTACTGATGTTATACTCGATTGAAAATGATGATGATTAATAGATGGAAGTGAGGCTTGAAACTACATGGGTTATGGTCTCGGTGATGTGGCCTGAAATCAATGATGGTCATCCTGAAAATTATGGAATCCAAGAATGTCTATGGTGGTTTTTAGGGTTGTCTGATTCGTGTTGTTCTAGGTCACAATCTGTGTAAGAGGTGCTTAACCATGCACCTTAAGAAAGCATCTAGATACAAGTTATACGCTTTAACTTTTTTACCGGTGAAAAGTAGTTAGTTTAGAATTTACAAAGGATTTACGAGTTAAGAAATTTCATTAGTGCAATGGCTTGGCTGGGTTTGTCACCTATATGGGGTTTGGACTACCTACTCGCATAAACATTGTCGAACCCAAAGACCACTCAAGTGAGAGAATGATAGTGTGCTAGTGAAGTCAAAGTGGTGTCAAATATTTGGTTCTGTAGCACACAGTCTGTTGTGTGGCGATGTTTGTCTTGCTCGTTTAGCACTGTGCATACAAATAATAATTTTCGGTATCTTGATTGCAAGTGTTTTTTATGTTTTATATTTCAGGCTGTACGGAAACTGAATGAAGCCAAGAAACTCGAATCTAGCGCCCACTACAATGCGGATTTTGGGAAGGAATGAAACTAAATTTGAATTTTGAACCTACCCGAAGAGTTACTTAAGAGAAACTGCAATCATGTGCTGGCTGGCTGTTGTGCTGTATTTTCTTTATGATATGTGGGGATGGTGGTACTGCAATATAGCTTCCAGGAATGTGTTTACCACCAGACTCACATTACGAATTGTATTCTGAAGACGACGCAACGCCATTTACTCATTCGAGTCTTTAATTAGTATTATGATTCTCCAACGTTCAATTGTTTGTTGCTTACTGTGGTTCTATAATGTGTTTCGTAGAGATGGTATTAGTGTTAAATCTGTGATTTAATGCCTTTATGCTACAGAAACTCTCCGATTCTCTCTAATTAACAAATAATAACTGCATCATTTGTAACTTGTGGCTTTTTCGTGTGGGATCAACTAATAAACTTAAATGCTATAAGTCGTATTCACACCCCCTTCAAAATTTTTCCTCCTATTAGGGAGAAGTACCTATATAGACGAGTTCAGTGTCATGTTTCTTGTTGAATTGGGACGCCACGTGACGATGAAACTGTTCCATCTAAGTCGCTCTTGGTCTCCTTATAAAAATGCTAACACACCTCCGTCCACCCGTCCTTCCAATAGCCAATAGCACTTTGAGGGATGAGTTTAGATAGGGTAAACGAATCATCAACTTGTTTATATTATTATCCACTAACAAACAACTCTAGCTAGCCAGAAAGAAAATTAAAGCACTGGTTCCAGAGCTAGAACTGCTCGAGCATTGGTCCTTGAATTTATTACAACGTGGAGAAATGGTACTTTTGCGTAACGCCATCAAAATTTTCATAAAAATAAAGGCTTTGAAGGAGCAAATAAGAGAGGGAAGTTCTAATAGATTGCCAAAAAAGACCATTTTTTCACATTATGACAAGTTCATGGACTAATACTCGTGACTTCTTTTTTTTCCTTTTGATCAAACGATATTATCTACATTAAGGGAAAAGGAAGAAGGGACGGACTTAGCCTTACAATGGATTAGCTTGTGAAATTTTAGTTTAGAGACCAAAGGTTCAGTTTGGCTAAAATTTAGGCACTAGTGCTCCAATTTTCTCAATGAGGAATTAAACTAGAATTTATAATGTCAATTGTCTTTCAATTTGGCATTCCAAGATCCTGTAGTCACTTTTCTTCTCAATGGCCAGTTTGAGCACATGAGCTCAGTGACTCTGAGTCAGTGGCTCACACACCATCAATTCCCTGACCCTCCATACAATCGGAACAACTCGTAAACTAGAAGAAAATTGTAAAATTCAAATATAAGTGAGAGTCGAGCTGAGCGTTTCAAGCTCTGGCTGAATTAACTGGTCACCTGGATGTTCCAAAATTCCAACACCTCGTTACAAGATAGCATTCTGTTCTTATTGTGCATCTGGAATTCCATTGTGGTCCACTTTTCAGGCAATATGCTCTGCCAAACTAAGAATCTTGACATGCTTTTTCTTCCTCAGCTCGTGCGGGACGGGTCCAAATACTCTTGTCCCAATCGGCTGCCCTTGCTTGTCGACGAGTACCACAGCATTGTCATCAAACTTGACCTCACTCCCATCACAACGGCCTCGCTGCATGGCAGCACGAACAACCACACCATAAACAACCTTTCCTTTCTTCACTTTTCCATTCGGATGGGCCTCCTTTACTGATGCAACAATGGTGTCTCCCAATCTTGCTCCCTTCTTATTTGCCTTCAAAGCTTGTATACACATCACCTTTTTCGCCCCTGAATTGTCCACGACTTTGAGAACAGTCCTCATCTGTATGAAGGTCCTTTGCTGCTGTAAACGTGCAACAAACAAAAACCGACAACGACAACTATGAATCAGTCTCATCTCAACACCAAGTAATAAACGAGTAGGCAATTTGAGGTATTTAGCAAAAACGAAGATAAACACAATAAACAGTAAGCCAACTTGGAATTAATTAACTAGAAATTTTTTTGTTGACTCTTCTAAATGGCTCTGTAAATGTTACCAATTCAAGACTATAAGAAATTCTTCATTCTATGCAACCTAAAATATTCAAGATTTAACACCAGTAAAAAAAATATTTACATGAAACCATCCTAGTAAATATTCTACCTGAAAACGTCGTAAATATTCAACGGATATACTTCTTAACATAGGTATAATGTTCAAAAAATAATCAGATCAACAAACTGACCTGAGATAAGAAAGTGCAGCTTGTCGTCTCATGTGATGTACTCAATAAGCCAGACAAGTTGTTGCCGAGGCCCCCCAACAATGAACAACCAACTAGGTTTGTTTCCAGCAGATTGAACAGATTGCAGTGAGTGATAAGCAAACAGTTGCAGAACATAGACCAAAAAACGCTTAAACTTAATCCACGAAAATTAGAAAATTGCGCCACTTCAATATTGCAATATCTACGATATCCCACACGAATAATGAAAGAACCACATCTTGAATCAGATCCACACTCAACTACTCTACTTTAGTTATCACGCAAGGTGCAAGAAGTTAATGGCAGAAAAAATCTTGATTCTTGAAAAATAAAAGTTCTTACAGATTTTCCAAACACAATTCAATGGATTTAGAATCTAACATTTGAATAAGAAATCACACAAATAATACAAAACAGATTACTTGACAAATGACGTACCCCGTGAACATTTTGAAGCCAAACCTGCAGCCATTCCTTAATAGTAACTTTTACTTTCAGCCAAACTGAAAATCTTCTTCTATCCTCCGTTCAGCTGTGTATAAAATGTTGTCAGAAAATTCATAAAAGAAAAAGAAATCTCATCACAGATTTAGAAATTTAATTTAATTCATTTTTATGGACCAGATTTTTAAGATAAAAAGTAACAAGAAACGATGTCGATGAACAAAACACACACACACACATAGACAACTTTGTCCTGCACTAAATCATCTTAAAGTATAACATTACATTCAACAATGGGGACAATGATAAGTAAACTATGAAAAATCAATGTGAAGTATCAACACTTAATAACGACAGAATTCACAACTCACAAACTATTGTAGGGTAATCGCTGATGGACTCTCAAATCTTTAATTAAAATGTGAGAAAAAAAAAAAAAAAAACACAATAATGTGTTGTAAGTTGTAACTTGTATATGTGTATGGTGTACATTAATCGCACATACACTGGTCCATAAAATCCAAACACGTATATGCATGAATATCCACCACAAGCAGGCACACCAATATAAGTTAGAAGAACACAAACAGAAAGATATCTCCTTTAGGGGAAAAACAGTGCAACGTAATACCAAGTACCTGTTGTGTAAGAGTTCAGATTACACTCGCAGTAAGAAATCAGGTTTCAGTATTTTCACTTGTTTTTAGCCTGTTTGAAACCGACCTGTTTTGAAGCATCTTCCACCCATCCATTCAATTACAATCGGTATTGGTCTTACCTTACTGACACCCAATCGAACCAGAATTGAACGGGAAATCCATTTCAACTAAATCCCAGATGAGTTGTTTTACAATCAGTTTTCTTTTCATTTGATTATAAGGACCTAGCATCAAAAGTGGTCCCAAAACAGAAGAAACCTAATCCAAGCATCAAAACAACAACATTCATACGCAGCAACATTTCGTTCTATCATTCATTCACTCAGCAAACACTTAACCCAAGACTTCCAATGATCAAAACAGCAACGAATACCCGCAAAGAAATAACCCAACAGTTAGAATCACCCATATTCCCGGAAGAGTGCCGCTACTACAAAAACCCACGAAATCCGATATGGTTCTAAATTCTAATACACACACATTTCGAAAATTCTTTATTTCGTTTTGAATGATTTCATTTTGCTCACTTAGACATCCAACCTGTTGTCATTGATAGAAAACCATACAGATGAGATAAATTAAAACAATTACCATTAGAAATTAGCAAAATTATGATTAATTTCTCGAAAACCTGCAAATCATTCAAATGCAACGATGATCAAATTGACATTTCTACCACGACGGTGAAGGAACGAGACAAGTAGAGCTAGAATTAAATTATCTAGATTGAAATATGAATAACGGATTTACTATAACTAACAAACAATTGATGTAAAATTAGAAACGAAATGGAAGGATGAAACGCGAGAAGAAACTGAGAGAGAGAGAGAGAGAGAGAGAGAGAGAGAGAGGTTGACCTGTGGCTAACTGGGAGCAGAGGAGTTGCAGAGAGTGGTGGTGTGATCGGAGCTTCGAATGATGCTAAAACCCTAAACGGTTAACCCCCGAGATATTAATCAGTAAATATTGTCGATATCAATTTTTAATATCTCACCGATATAAGGGGTGAAGTTTGCATTTTACCCTTCCTTTTCTATATCGAGTCTTAATTTTTCAAATAGTTCAATAAAAATTTCGATAATTTTGTAGATATTTTGAACATTAGGTATTAAAAGTAATTTTTCATTTTTGAGATTCGAATAATTTGATATGGTACACTAGAGATAGAAAATTTAGAGTAAACTGCATGATAAATCAGTTATAAAAATTTGGTATCGAACTCGGCATGATGTTATTTATTTGAGTTTATACTAAGATCTCCCACTTAGAGCTAGGATCAAGTGGTAATTCTATGCAAGTGAAAGGTTTAGTGTCAATATATCATTAACAAAACGATAATTCTATTGACACTCTAAAAATCTCATTGTGCACTCCAAATTTTATAATAGTACCCCAACAAAAGTGGTTTAGGCTTTTGTTTTTTGTTTTTTGTTTGGGGAAATGATAACACATCTTTTTTTAGTCCCCTACACACCCTTGTTTACTGTTATTTGTTGTTTTCGTTTGATTTATTCAATTCAGTGACCAAAAATAATGAGAGGCTTAACAAATGTAATTCCTTACAAATACTGAAAAATCCAAAAAATGAGGTCCGTCTTTGGCTCCTTCATTTGACAACAATTTAATTGTGACCAAAATACCAGCAAATCTTAAATCTATGGGGAAAATCCCCTTGCTAAATGTCTTATATCGCAAGGTGAACGCAAACGCACAATGCAGCTTCTCCAGATTACGCTTTGTATTTCACTTCTCACCCGTCGATCAATCCACCCAGCTCCTTGATGTCGTATCAGCAGAATGCAAATATTCACTGCCATTGTAATGAATCTAGAGCTTGTTGGTGAATCTGCTTATCTCCAGCTGCCACTACATTAAAACCTGGGGAACGTACCAAATTACCGTTAACTCCCAGAATAAACAAATAAAATAAAACGAAGAAGCAGAAATAGCCCCAATAAGGCGCGATGACATATAAATAGTCAGCGAAAGCATTGTTAGATGTTAGCATACTTGTTGCCTTTGAATTTGGAGAAGCATCCCAATAAAGCCGATGTCCCTTCCAATCTGTTATGACACCGCCAGCACCTTCTATCACAGGTATCAGTGAAAGAAAATCGTATGGCTGATAAAACAGTTGAGATTCTTGTTAGCTAAAAGCAATGAAGTCTATCTAACACAATAACATCTTTCACGGATGACGAGAAATGTAACGAGACTCATGCATGGTTGCAGATTTAAGACAGCTTAATGCAAGAAAAAAGGCGTTAAAAGTGCAGAAAAGATAGACGCAGACATCACAAAGGTTATCTAACACATCATCAGAAACTACCAAGTCCCTTCTGCTTTAAATTCTCTCTCTAGTTCAACCAGAGATTTAGAATAGCTACCACTCATATCATACACCAGGCATCGCCTTTTTAGCGGCCCAGACATTCCGAAGAGAAAAGCATATCACTTGATAGATTAGTCATATAAACAATTTAACAACGAAGAGTTCAGCTTACCTTGAGACCAGACTCAACAACAAGATCCACAAAACCAGAAGCCAGCAGAGCATAAGCATAGCAGTCACAGCCGTATAATGGCACTTTTACCTATAGACCAGATATGAAGTACATGAGTCATTTTATTATTCGTTTTTATAAGAATTTAAATTTAGAATATTTAAGATGAAAACGTCAACCGGCAAAAATGTAAAGATGTATGAGACACTTGGAAGTTATATTTTCACATTAGGTTTCTTGATGTTTTACATACTAGGATATTCAGCTTAATATCAACTTCAGCGTAATTATGTGTTCCCAAAGTTGCTCAGGATCGAGTGAGAATGAGAAATTCACAGAGATTATCCCAAACGCATAGGAACTTCACAAAAAGTAAAAGGACAAAGCAAGCCTAGCACTGCCCAAATTTGCTCTCCCCTTTTTTTTCCCTTTGAGGTAATTCTTATTAACCGAGTCTGATTTTTAATATAGCTCATATAACTAAAAGTGAATCCACTAATATGGCAGCACTTTTCTGTCACCTAATTTCAAAATTATATATTTTATGAACGGACCTTATTTCTAACACGAATAAATGCCTCTTCTGCCTTTGCACTGAATAGGTGTGGGCTTGTAGTGTACCTAATCATGGGAACACGTAAAGTTATATAAGAGAAATCCTAAAACAAAAATGATAGAGAAAGGAAAATTATAAATCCCTGGCTCACACGAATTGGATGCCATAACGGTCTAGATACATTTTGGACATGGTTACTTTTTAAGCAACAATCATTTCGGCTATACAATAGATACTCGAAGGAAAAAAAAAGAACCTACAAATAAGCCTGTGCCAGATTTGCACAAGCACGTGTGGACACTACTTGGCCATTCAATGTAGTTTTCCTTCCACTTATCCCAACCCATCTTTCTCTTAAAACAGGCTGATCAATTATCCCAAGAATCTGGAGGAAAAGAAGTATCAGTTCAAGAGAGTACGTACATGTAATCTTTAAGTCTGAAATAATTTATCGTGCAATTATTCAAACTCAGTGTGAAAATATTCAGTCGGGGAAACTGGGAATGAGCACTAATTTTAGATGTGCACAATATTTTAATTCCAAGATAACATCTATTGCATGCACAAAATGAAACGAATTACTTTCACTTGGCAAGTGGCAAGTGCTAAAGTCATGAAACTACCTAGATTTTTCCTGCCTGTAAGACATTTTTTAAACAATTTTTCGTTCAGAAAAGCTATCTTCCATTCACAAGAGATGAATACCAAAGGAAAGAAAAGTATCTTTCTAGAAACGGAATCCTGCAATTACATATTAAATTTTTAAGAAAAATAACATCAAAGACGCCAGTTCCTATTTTATGCACGTTGTAGCAGATGATTCTTACTGGTTTACCCCGATGTAGCAGAGCAATGAGAGTACCAAACACAGGTTTTCCTGGAAAAAGAAAATGCAGATTTTACTAGAGAAAACATTTAAGGTCATAAGACTCATAAATATGATGTTCCCTTCAAGAGAAACATACCAGTGATAAAGCTCTTTGTCCCGTCTATTGGATCTAAAACCCAAACATAATCTGTAAACTTCTCATTGCATCTCCACCCATTCTCTTCTCCATAACTGCAATGAAAACTCTATCATATCTTCACCGACAGCACAAAATATAAATATTCATGGTTGTACATACAAATTTAAAATTGAGATAAACCAAATCTTCTTTTATGTTCCATTGGGTTTGAAGAAAATAGTCAAGAGTCATACAAAACAACAACAACAACAACAACCACCAAGCCTTATCCCACTAAGTGGGGTCGGCCTTATGAATCCTAGAATGCCACTGTGCTCAGTTTTGCTCCAAGTACTCCATAGCTTTTCTAAGAGTCATGTGAGAGTGGTAGAGAATAAAAAAGCTAAATGATGCCTAAACTCGTCAATTGAATTAAACTACTTATCATAGCTTAAGCGAAACTTGTCATGTTCAATTCTAAAAATGGAAACTCCAAGCCAAAAAATTCAGAAACCAAAACAGTTAGAGATATAACACTCTAACAATATTTCCTTTCAGCATTTTCTAGGTAAAATAACATACGTTTAGAATGTAAAGCTAAAGACTCAGAATTTACGGTCCAGTTCAACTTAAGCAGTCCAGTTTCCTTGTGACCAATTGAAATTATAGGAAAATGATCAATTCACATAGAAAGCTTACATGGCATGAGAAGGAAGATTCTCTGATATAATTGAGACCATTGCTCCCTCTGCTGTTTGATCTGCAATTGTCACAGGGCCTGCAGTAAAACAATCAAGCCGGACATCAATGACTAATAAAGTTTCCCATACTCCACACTGCACACCAATCACTTACTCTCGAAAGGACTTTCGCGGATGAACTCACTCAGCTTCATCAATTCAATGTTTTCCCAATTATTTTACGAACCAAACAGCTCAGAGCTCAAAACTCAGCGCTCCAATCGAACAATTGAATCCAGCATTCCTAATATTCTCTAAATTCCTCACAATTCCTAATATTCTCTTTTTTAGTAAATATTTTTCTCTTCACTTTTTTAGTAAATAATTTTCTCTTCACTAGAAAAATATTTACTAAAAAGATTCTGGCCATTTTCCGAGTCTCTCAGATAGCTTTCCCGGAAACCAAACAGAGCAGGTATGACAATACTCACTTATAGAAACTTACTGGAATCCTCTTTATCGAGAATGTCAAACTTGTGCCGGAAATGTTTCCGAATAACTTCCCCGGAGGCGTCGGCAACCTTGCTGGCGACCTCAGCGAAGCGGTCGAGCTCGAAATCATTGGGCGGGAGCGAAACGACGGGGTCTGGGAGGTCGGGGCGGGAGGCCATTGCGAGTGGGTGTCGATGACGGGAGACAGGGAGGCTGAGGAGCGAGAGCAAGTACTTGGGAGTGGCGAAACGGATGGTGAGAGTGTTGAGGATGGGAATGGCGATCGGAGGGGTTTGGGAGAAGGAGACGGGTTTGGGAATCTGGGAGAGCATTTGGGAAGACTGATGAGGCGGGAAAGGGAGAGAAGAGACACCGATGGAGTGGTGGAGACTGAAGAAACGAGGGACTCGTAAGCGAACTCGGACAACTCCACTTCGGTAGCGGGTGGTTTTGGAGGTTTAGGGAGCGGAGGTTGACGTGTTTTGTGCACCGTTGGATTGTGAAGGGGCGGCTGGATTGCACCGGTCACTGTGGACCCACCACCACAGAATTTATGTGACATTTGTACGATAATAATGCTAGGAGGCTAATTTATTGAAAAAAATTACAAAACTAAAGGAAATGAAAGTAGAATAGTTGATTGGTATATTATTGTTTAAGCATTGATAAATATATTCATTTTTATTGGTGACACATTATTTAGTTTACAAATTTTATCTACAAATTTAGTTTCCTTAGCATTACCATTTCCACAAGGAGTTTAGGACTATATCTAAATTTTTTCTTCTCAATTCGGTTAGTCGTTGATCTTCTTAACCACTTATTGGTATGTTGTATGAAAGAAAAATTATAATTGAGTAAGGAACGTTTTAGGGTCCGTTGAGTAATGCTTTACAAAACGATTATTGTAAATCGATAACAAATAAAATTTTGTATTTTTATGATTTGCGAATGTGTCTAGTAGTTTAAACCGGAATTCTTTTTGAGAATGAAAACGTTTCTAATACTAATGAACGAGAAATCTACAAATGAACGAGAAATGAGAAACTTTAAATGCGAAAGTCTTCTTCGAGCGTGTGAATCAAGACTCTCAATGAAAGCACCAATTTGTGGATGCAAATTTCCGTTGTCTTCTCCTTTGATGAAAATGCACCTGCAAAATAATAACACATAAGATTAAGGCCAAAAACCTCACGTGTCCACGATGATTTTTTTTTTTTGAGGGGGGGGGAGGGCTTTGGCCGAAGAATCTTCAATGCTAAAATTAGAATTTGAGAAAGTGTTTAAGAATTTGTCGAGAGAGAATGACTTAGCATTTTAGTGGGAAAACATGGCTATTTATAAGGGAGTGGCTAGCCTTATTTGGAGAATAGGAGCCGGCCATATATGGTCAAATTGTGAGTGGAATTGCAAGATATTATGTGAAATAATATCTTGCAATTAACTTGGAAATTAATCCCAAATTGAATAGGAAAATTGGGAGTTACCTGTTGAATGAGGATTTGATGAAGAATGATGAAAGGGTTTTAAATAAATACCATTTTGATCACTTTTGATTCTTCCTTGATTGAGTCGTTATTGTCCATTGTATGCACGTGAGAATCCCGGTGTGCCTCAAGGGTAATTTTATCCTTTTCACTCAAAAGTCCACGTGTCACCTCCATAATTTCTTGATTATTTTTAACTCCGCAAGCACAACTTACCAAGTTAAAAATTGGTTTACTCCACCTTAAGGACTTCTTAAACAAGGTACTTGTGAACGAAAATAAAATCAGCCTGCGCGGTAAAATTTATGACTCCGCCCTTGAAAGAAATGTTTGTCAATGCCTGTGATCTCAATAAAAGAGACAACACAGCATTCATGCATCCTTCTGGTGGTCATAGCAATAATCATGGAAGATTGGCAATGCCTTGCACATACTAAATTTTGGTTAATATTATGTGCTGGATGCTAAATTGAAGAAGAAGAACAGATACATCAGGTGCATCAAGAGACCATCACAGAGGCATATTTGACTTAAGACTTCAAATCAAAGTACGAATACAAAAACGCGCAAGATCCCGAAAGCAAACTAAATTTTTGGGTTGCAGTTAAAAGCGAAAAAGCTAAGCAAGGAACATATTCTACTTGAATTAATGATGTCATTTTTGCTTATGTTTTTTTTTATCCAAATCAATTTCTTCTGTGCAATCACGAATAAATAACCTACGCTGGTATTTTGATTTGACCTAATACATTCAGGGATATATGATTGTAGATGGGGGAGTGTAGATTAGGCTTAGTGTTATCCCTAGATCTTTTAGGTTGCTGTTTTTTCTTCAATGACTACATACAGGAGCGTCTTCTCTATCGTAGATTTTTGAGTAAATTACATTTTCATACCTCAGGTTTGAGATATATTTCAATTTCTTACAATATCTTCAAAACATTTCACTTTCATACCTTAATTATTATTTTATTTCAAAATAATACCTCCGTTATATTTTCCATCTATTGATCTGTTAAATGCTGACGTGGCTACCACATATATGCCATGTGGTTGCCAAATGTCAACCACGTGGCAAATAAAATAATTTTTTAAAATTTTTCTCAAAAAAAAAAAAATTGAAATCCATTTCTGCAAGAAGAAGAAGAAGAAGAGGGAGGAATAAAGAAAATAAATAAATTGTCCATCCCCACCCCCACCCCCACCCCCGGCAACTCTCCTCTCGTCCCCCTACCCCTTCCTCCCTATTCTTCTTCTTCTTGTTCTTGCAGATGTGGGTTTCTCTTTTTTTTCTTTCTTTCTTTTTTTTTTTTTTGAAAAAATTCGGGTTGTTTTTTTTAAATTAAAAAATTATTTTATTTGTCATGTGGTAGACATTTGGCAGCCATGTGATATATATATGCCAACCACGTCAGCATTTTAACGGATCAATGGATGGAAAATGTAACGGATGTATTATTTTGAAATAAAATAGTACTTAAGGTATGAAAGTGAAATGTTTTGAAGATATTGTAAGGAATTGAAATAGACCCTAAACTTGAGGTATAAAAGTGTAATTTACCCCTTTTTTTATTTATCCCCCACATTTCTCATTTTGTGTTCTTCGACAGTTCTTATCGTTATCCTCTACACGGCCTAGGTTTTGTTGAATTTGTTTGAAGGGTTTACTGATGAGCTAACAAAATCCATGGCAAGAAACATAATTTAAGTAATGATTGAATCAATCAAACCATTAAACTACATTCGGAGTAAACCCTGGTTTATCAAACCCTAGCAATCCTGATAACAGTAAAACTTGATTGCAGCTGAAGAAATCGATACCTTGGAATTTAAATCGAGACTCCTTATTGTTCTTGCTTGCAATAGGACAAGCATATGTCGAACATCCGTTATATAAGAACAGGGATTCCTTTTCAATGTCACTAGTAAGTTACCCACACGTTGCTGCGGGATTGAAAATTATATTTAAGATTATGCAAATTCATTCACTTCATAAGCAATGTTTGAGTCAAGAACAGAGGATTACAAATGCCCAAAAAAAAAAAAAAAAAAACAAAAAAAACAAAAAAAACAAAACAAAAAAGAAAGAATGAAAATATAAGAGACCTCAATGATCTGGCTCCATTCATCATTCAAGAATTGGTCGATCTGTTCTCACTCTATCCGTAAACAAAAGAAAACCAAATCAAATTCAGCGAGAATTATGCACGATCTTTGTGAAACTATATAATGAATGATACCATATTGTTAAACAAACATGAACTGAAGCTGATTTTAAAATTCATTTAAAAGGGAAGTGGTAAATACCATTTGATTGAGATGCTAAATTTTCAAGATACGACACAAATAAAAATTGCATATAAGGATGAAACACATATGAACGCTTACACTTAATCATAGAGAACTTTAGCAAAATTTTATTTTATTTTACTCAATGTTGCAGGAAATTGCCTAAATAGGCAATGAACAATAGCACAGGAAATCTGCACTTGTGGATATGTAATTATATATGTGTTTGGGCCCAAAATATTATTGGGCCGAGCAGCAGGATTCGATGGGCCCAATGTAATGACAAATACTATGGGCCGAATAATGAAACTTGGGCCAAGTGGCAAGGTCGGCCAGATCCTATCCTAAGTAGTCCAGATGAATAGGAAAGGTCGAGGAAATCCTGGTGTGACCAGGATTCTCGACCAACGAAGAATAAAACCCCAAAAGGGAGGAAAATTCAGAATCCCAGTAGGAGTTGGATTATCCGAGTCAGAGGTAAAATGGGACAAGGACTCCCAATCTGAATCAGAACGCGAATTGATCTCAAGGGATGGGGTGCTATAAATACAAGAAATCACGTAATAGAAAGGACCCTTCAACATCAGCATACAATTGCCCTGCGCAAAACCTCTCAAACACCTTGAGATTTTTCCTTTTCTTTTCCTGCCGACACACCTTCAGTTTGGATAAACAGCACTGTGGAAGCAACCGGTGAGCACCTTCAGTTTGGATAAACAGCACTGCTGCCGCAGAATCAGCCGACCAAGAAACACCTTCAGTTTGGATAAACAGCACTGCGTCGAGGTCGACCGATTATCTATCTAAGTCTCGGCCGAGAAGGGTTTTCGAACCTTTGTTGGTAGAGGTCATCTGACTAAGCCTTTTCGGCGTAGTTGGGTGTTACGAGTTGCATTGCTCGGCGTATTGGGCGCCGAGTAAGTTTATGATTGGATACTCGCAAATAAGTTTCAGGGTTCGGCATTCCGACGGCCGAACTACGTTTACCATCAAGACATACATCACATTCGAGTACCTGTGCCCATATAGTTTGGTCTCGATTCGGCGTGCTTATACTCTTACGAATATAATCACAGTGACCGAATCAGGGTCCGACGATTTGTGGACTCCGTAGAATTAGTAGCCTTGTCTTCAGGCTATAGAACCCAGAGGCCGAGAGCGTTCCTTCCTCGGTCGCAATCGCAAGGTACAGAAGTCAAGAGCGCGCCCAACGCGACAACATCACATTTTACTCCTCGGCCGAGCTCGGCCGACGAGTTGGCACGCCCCGCATTCAACCGAAGGACGTAGTTAGCTCATTAGTTACTCGGCCTGCGCGCCACGTAGGTTTTGTAATTTTTGTAGTCAACAATATGTCAGAATAATTGATGTAGAGTATCAAGGGTATTGATATATAGTACTATACCTCTAGACAATTTTCTGGCTTCCTTTTTAAAGTACAAATAAAGGCTCACAATATTTCCCTGATAATAATGGAGGGCATAATCAAAACGAATTTTATAAATCTTTATATGTGACATTACTCTTTTGAATATTACTACACCAGAAAACTGTTTTCTGATCCAGTTTACTGCTATTTGAAGTACAATAAGTGTAGCAACAATTCCCTAAAAAGAGTAATATGTTAAAGAATTGATTGAAATAATTATAACAGAAGTAAGTTAAAGATTAGATAAT